GATGAAGGTCCGCATCCATTAACCAAATTAGTTCTATAGTCTCTACCTCCACTACTACAGGTAAAACCATTTTTGGTCTTAATTAACACAAAGACAAAGGTAGTGTCTCTTGGATTTTATATTCTAGCGCATCAGATCACATTGTTTCTTCTCTTAATCATTTACAATCCTATGAAAAGATTACCCCAATTACTATCAATTTACCAAATGACATGCAAGCAAAAGCTACTCATAAAGGAGTTATTCAGATTTATGACAAGATCATTCTAAAGGACATCCTTTTCATTCCAGATTTTTGTTATAATCTTACTCTATATCTAAATTGGTTGCACACAATCATTTATGCCTTACCTTTACTAATACCATTTGTTTTATTCAGGATATGAAAAAAAAACAAGAAGATTGGTTCAATTAATTCTCACGCTGGTTTATACATCTTTCATGACTACAACAACATCAGACAACACTCTATCAACCCTGCAAATATTTACCAAATATGTAAGTTGGATGTAATAATCTTTGGCACAATCTCTTGGATCATATGTCTTATAGAAGTTTAGATATCTTAAAAAAAAATACCACTGTATTGACTCTAGATCTGATAACTACAATGCCTGTCATGTTGCTAAACAAAAATGTCTCCCTTTTCCTTCCAGTACTTCTTATGCTTTACATCGTTTTGATGTTATACATGTTGATATTTGGGGACCATGCTCTATTTCTTCTTTACACTCTCATAGATATTTTCTAACCATTATTGATGATCATACTCGATACACTTGGGTACATTTGATGAAAACTAAATCTGAAACCCGCCAACATCTCATTCATTTCATTTCATATGTTAAAAATCAATTTTAAAACTACCATAAAGGCCATTAGGTCTGACAATGACAATGAATTTACTATGCATGATTACTATAAGATTGAAGGCATAGTTCATCAAACATCTTGTAATGAAACATCCCAACAAAATGGTATAGCTGAAAGGAAACATCAACATCTTCTAAATGTCACTAGAGCTTTAATTTTGCATTCTAACATTTCTGTTCAGTTTTGGACTAATGCTATCAATTATGCTACTCTCCTTATTAATATCATGCCTACACCTTTTCTGCAAAATAATTCTCCTTATGACAGGTTGTATCAAAAAGATTTTGATATTAGTAGACTCAAAGTGTTTGGTTGCCTATGCTATGTGAGCACCCTTCAAGGCAATAGGAAGAAACTTGATCCCCGTGCCAAGCCTAGTCTCTTTCTTGGGATCCATCCTACTACCAAAGGTTACATAACTTATGATCTTGAAAAGCATGATATTAAAATATCTAGAAATGTTATTTTTTATGAAACTGATTTTCCTGATAAAAACTCTACCACTATTGATAATCTGCATGTTCCTTTACCTTTGAGTAATAATCAAATATCTTATGATCATGATCATCCTTATGAAATTCTTACTTCCAACAATTCTTCTGATTCTGAAAACAATGATGAAGACAATATAGAGAATGACACTCATTCTCCATGGTGGTCCACTAGAGTAAGAAAACCCCCTGCATATTTAAAAGACTTTCAAATCTCTTCCTATAGCAACACTAACACTAAATATCCTATTGATCGTGTTCTAACATTTGATAGAATATCTACTGCATATAGAACTTTTCTTTCTTCTCTAGACAACATTGTTGATCCACAAGACTACAAAGAAGCCATACAATACCAACATTGACAATCGACCATGTAAGAAGAAATCACTGCATTGGAACAAAATCATACATGGACCATCACTACTCTGCCCTCAAATAAAAAAGCTATAGGATGCAAATGGGTTTACAAGACCAAATGCAACGCTGATGGCACAATAGATAGATTCAAAGCTCGCCTCGGGTACACTCAAATGAAGGGCATTGACTACTTTGACATTTTCTCCCCTGTTGTAAAACTCACTAGTGTGCGCCTTATCTTATCTCTTGCCTCTGCTAAAAACTGGCATCTAAGGCAATTAGATGTCAATAATGCCTTTTTACAGGGAGACTTGCATGAAGAAGTCTACATGCAATTACCACCAGGAGTCACTGCAATAGGTCCTAGCCAAGCTTGCCTCCTCCACAAATCCCTCTACGGTTTGAAACAAGTTAGTCGTCAATAATATGATAAATTATCTTCTTTTCTCCTCTCTCACGATTTTACACAAACATCAGATGATCATTCTCTCTACCAAACACAATGATGATAAAATTGCTATCATGCTTGTCTATGTAGATGATATAATATTGACAGGAAATTACATCAATGACATTAATCACATTACCAATATGCTTAATGATTGTTTCAAAATTAAAAATCTTGGTAACTTGTCTTACTTTTTGGGTTTTGCGGTGGCACGAAGCAGTGAAGGTATCCATCTCTCCCAGCGCAAGTATGCTTTGGATCTTCTCAACGAAACAAAGATGCTTGATGGTGCTCTTGTCAGCACACCAATGAACTTCTCTACCAAAGTTTCCTCTCAAGGTGATCCTCTTGATGATCCTGCTGCCTTCAGAAGATTAATCGAGAGACTTATCTACCTCACCAATACTCGTCCCGATATCACCTATATGCGGTCCACCGTTTAAGCCAGCACATTGCTTCCCTAACTAAGCTTCATCATCAAGATGCTTTCAGAATCCTGCGTTACATCAAACAAACACCAAGTCAGGGAATTTTTTTAAAAGCTACTAACATTCTCACTTTAAAAGCTTATAGTGATTCAGATTGGGCTGGTTGCCCTAACTCCCGCAAATCTACCACGGGATACATTGTTTACTTGGGCAATTCCCCAATATCATGGAAATCCAAGAAGCAATCAACTGTGTCGCGCAGCTTTTCCGAGGCTGAATATCATGCTCTTGCTTAAACTGCCTGTGAAGTTCAATGGCTCACCAATCTTCTCACTGATTTTTGCCTTCCGTTCTCTCAACCTGCTACCATCTTCTGTGACAACCTCTCTGCAATCAAAATTGCTACTGACCTGGTCTTCCACGAAAGAACCAAATATATCGAGATAGATTGTCACCTCATTCGCGAAAAAGTCTAGCAAGGCACTATCAAGCTTCTCCCCATCCATACCACTTTATAACTTGTTGATATCTTAACGAAGATCCTTCCTCCTTCCATCTTCCATACCATCAATTCCAAGCTTGACACTCTGAACATCTACGCCAAACTTGAAAGGGGCTATCAGAACACTATTAAAAGCACTGCCACCGCTTCTCATTAAATGCTCCTCTGTACCGCACCACTGTTTCTTTTTCTGTTTTCTTTTCCCCTTTCTATTTCCCTTTCTGTTTTTTCCCTCTTCTTATATAAACTTTCTCTGTATTGTACAATCTCATTATTCAAATAATATGAAAGAAGGTTATACTGTTTTCTTCCTCTAATTTCTTCTTGTTCACTTCTGAGTTTATTCTCTTCTCTTTCCATAATGCATTTGCTCACACACATACGTCACTTCATGAACTTCCACAGTGCACATAAGCTTATGCTGCTGTTCTTCCATGACTTATTACGATTAAAAAGATAGATTTAATGCTATTCTCTGATACGGTCCTTGCTTCTTTTCCTATAAAAGAAATTCATGACCCGTAAGAGATGAGACTTGGAAAATTATGACTTTTAATCTTTTTATAATAAAGGATATTAAAGATATTTCACTAATAATATGGAGATGCAGGAAGAAAACTCGAGTGTTGAAAGAATTGAGTTAATGTTAGTGTTTGGTGTCAAATTATGAATATACATACATCAAAATTTGGGTTATTTTTTTCTTTGAAAGTGTTAGATATCAAAATTTGAAGAATTTCAGATAAAAGATGATACTGATTTTAACATGTAACAAATTTAAATTTTAAAACGTAATAATGTAAAAGAAGTGTTAGTACAAATTTAATCAAAAATGCCAAATTGATTTTTTTTTACAAAAATAAAATCTTCACTAAATAAAAAACAAATATAAAAATAAAAAAATTAAATATAAAAACTAAATTACTCGTTAAATCATAAATATATTATCAAAATATATTTTTTCTTCACTGTTAGCTACACTTAATTACATATTAAAATAAATTAAATAACCAATCAAGCCTTCGAAACTTTACAATGATATGCAAAATAAGGCTTGTTTGGTAAAGTAATAAACCGCTGGGTTACGGTGTTGCAAAGTTAGAAATCATTCTTTTCCTAGATTATTTGTTTAATGCGTAATTATTGTCAATTAAATAAAATTTAACTGAGATATTTTAATTCAATGATGATAAATAATTTTAAGTTCATAAATTTAATTTGAAAGAAGAGAAAGCCATTAAAATATTAAAAAGTTATTCAACAAAAATATTTAAAGATTTTGTATGAGTTTTTATTTGCTTAATTAACTAATCAATTCTTCTAAATACTAAATCATATCAAAATAAACTTATCTCTACTTCCATTCTATATATAAGTTTATCGTTGAATAATATATTAAAAATGACTTTAAGTTTAACTCATGATTATCCATATCATCCAAAAGTATTTTTTTATATATTATAAATTCTCTTTATCTCAAATTAATATCAAATATTTAATATATATATATATATATATATATATATATTATATAATAAAAAATGTGGTTATATCACACTTGTAAAAATTTCATAAGATATTTGCCAACATAAATGTTAGAGAGCATTCCAAGAAAAAATGACATAAATGTTTACACTCGTATACTGGAAAATTTTGAACACCATTGTAAAGTCTGCTTATTTTAAGAGCATCATCTTCTAAAATAAACTAGTTTTTGCTCCTCTTCAGCGAGGTTCTCACATTTCTAAGAGTCTTCAAGATCATGCTTCCAAAAAGAGAAGTCATTAAATTATGTGTTATTACCTCATAAAACCAAAGAAGCATAACAATATCCTAAAAAGAGAAGTAAAAAACTGTCTGAGTAATAAACCATAGCCTAAATCAACTTAATATACAAACCAAATGATGAAAATCAAGCCACAAATTCAATGAAACTACACAACATAATATACAAACCAAATGATGAAAATTAAGCCACAAATTGTCTGAGTATGTGAGATTTTTCCTAGAGAAAGATCATACCAGTTCTAATCTGCGTTACAAGTTAAATATCATATGCATCTCAATATGACACGTTTCAACTAGTGCCATGTAACAATCTCAATGCCATGTTAGATAAAGGGCTACATGAAACAGAATAAGCATGAAAACACACTTGACACAACAATTACCATAAAGTAGCATTGTCTTTTCTCATCATATATACTTTAAAACATGTTGGTCATCGAGAAAAATTTGTAACCATCACATTATTGAAACACTGTCATTCACTAAACTGCTACAGAAATCAACAGTTCACGGGCTGTGAAGTTCAGTTCTGTTGAAGATGTTGTAGAGGTTTCCTCTTAGGAAATGCACTCCTTGAAGGTGTTTTCTTTGAAATTTTAATGTTTTCTTTCATGTCACTAGCTCCAAGAATATCCCTTGCACGTTTCATAGGCAAACTCGACATAATCTTCAACTCTTTCTTTATAAATGATTCACGGAGCTTACGACTTGTACAATTTGGTGGTGTTTCCATTTCATCTCCACAGAAAGTGCCTGCAAATAAAGGTTTACAAAAATATCACAGATGATTCCTATATATAAACAATTAATTTGTACAGGTAAAGAAACTCTTGATTGCATTGCTTTAACCATAACTTATATACTTTACCTGATGCAGACATTTGTTGATGGTTAAAAGTGCATAACTTCATTTCACCTTCCTGAGGCATAGTTGGAGCATTCTCATCTAAATTTTGACCACTTGCATCTTCCAAAGTGTGGAAATCATAGAGCAAATATTTTTCAATGCTTTCCATGTCCATCTTCATATTATGTTGGTTTTTGCCATCTTCTGGACCAGTCACACCAACACATTCATGATCATCAGAGTTATTAATCAACCTGGTAATTTCTTCCTGCACCGAATCATTTGTCATATGCAGAACTTTCTGACTGAATTCTTTCTCCATCTGATCACTTGGCATGCTTTCTTCCATTTTGAAAGTTTCCACAACATCTCCAAGTGCACTTACATCAAAATATGTTTCATCCTCAAAGCCTTTTGTTGCTGAAGGCAGAAGATTATTGGGCAAAATTCCTATGCATTCCTCTGAATCAGCATTCATACATGACTTCTCAATCTCTCCCTCCAACAACTGCTCTCCAACTTCCACGTTGTTCAAGACCATTGGACTAGGTGTTGCACGTATAACTTGCTCACTTTCTTCAACTTGCTTTTCATTGACAATTATTTGCATGTTCTCTTCCACATCGCAAATTCGATTATCAACTTCCTCAGAATCAGCAATCAGACCTGACTTGTCAATTTCTCCCTCCAATAAATAGTCTCCAACTTCATCAACTAGTTCCTTGTTGACATCCATCTGCATGTTCTCCATATCACCAATTCCAACATCAATTCTTGCTGTTTCCGGGAAAAGTTTTGTTTCGGACTGCAACACTTTAGTCTCTGAATTATTTAGCTGCTTGGGGGAAAAACCAATCATTCTATCTGAAGCTGAGCTTAAACTTATTTTTCTTGAAGATACAAACTTCGCTTCAGACATATCAACATTTTCAAACACAATGCCTAGAACATCACGGTTAGAGAGATTACAAATTCATTACTTAAAAATCAAGGGAGAAATTTTGATGAACCATCATTATAAATAAACTTTAAAATAAAACAGTTCACTGTACCTGCAACAACCATTTCATGAACATTAAAATCTGTCTTCACTTCACTTAATGCATCATTTGATAGGAACTGAACTGGTGTCCCATCCGAATCTTCAAAAGTTGAAGATTGGAGCTCATCTGTAAATTGTTCAATAGTCGCATTGGTCTTGTATTCAACTTTCTCAATCTCGTAACTTTGCATGCTTTCTTTCATGTTACAACTTCCTATATCTCCAAGTGGTCTCAGGTCAGAATATGTTTCAAACTGAAAGCTCTCAACTAAGGAGGCTTCAAGGTTATGGGGAGAAAATCTAGAGCATTCCCCTGGATTTGCAATTGAACCTGTATTTTGTGGTGATTTCAACTCCTCTTTACACGTATCTACATTAAGTCAGATGGTTCAGAAAGGCAGCCATAGAACATTATGAAACCAATTATACTTAAAGACATAACGAAGAAATTTGAAAATAAAAACTGCACTATACCTTGGTGAATATTAAGACCACTAGACATGACTTCATTTTCTGGATAAGTGCTCTGAAATTGATCTTGTGTGCCAACTGAAGATTTATTCAAACTAGAAGGAACATCTTCTACAGAATCTTCTGCAGATAATTTGATCTTTCCATCAGTATTCTTGGCTTCAACTTCTGATCCAGTGTTTAAGAGATCGTAGAAACTGCCATTACAAATATTGCCTTCAGCTTTCTGCACTTCTTCTACCGTAGGGAAACCAAAGTCCTCTTGGGAAACATGCATAACACTAACATCTTTTAGGTTTGATCCTTGAAGGCTATTGTGGTCACCTTGTTCTACAACTTCCTCTTCTTCCACCATAGGGTAACCAGATTCCTCCAGAAAAACGTGTAAAACATTCACTTCTTTCATGTTTGGCCCTTGAGAGATTTTTTGGTCACCTTGTTCTACAGCTAAATCTTCTTCCACTGCTGGGTAAACAGATTCTTCCTGATAAACATGTAAAATATTCACATCTTTGATGTTTGGTCCTTGAGGGCTATTGTGATCACCTTGTTCTACAGCTGCATCTTCTTCCACCACAGGGTAAACAGATTCTTCGTGATAAACATGTAAAATATTCACATCTTTGATGTTTGGTCCTTGAGGGCTATTGTTGTCACCTTGCTCTACAGCTACATCTTCCGCAATAGGATAGTCAGATACCTTCTGAGAAAGAAGTAAAATATTTACATCTTTCATGCTAGGTCCTTGAGAGCTATTGAGGTCACCTTGTTTTAAAGCATTATCTTCTTCCACCATAGGGAAACCACATTCCTCTTCAGAAGCATGTAAAACAGTTACATCTTTCGTGTTCGATCCTGGAGCGCTATTGTGGTCTCCTTGTTCTTCAGCTTCATCCTTTTCCATCACAAGGTAACCAGATTCCTCTTGAGAAACTTTAAAAATCTTCACATCTTTCATGCTTGATCCTTGACAGCTAATGCAGTTGCCTTGATCTATAGCTTCATCTTCTTCCATCATAGGAGAGCCAGATTCTTCTACAGAAGCATGTAAAGCATTCACCTCTTTCATGTTTGATCCTGGTGAGCTACTCTGGTCGCCTTGTTCTACTTCGTCATCTTTTTCCACCACAGGGTAACCAGATTTCTCTTGAGAAACATGTAAAACCTTCACATCTTTCATTCTTGATCCTTGAGGGCTAATGCAGTCGCCTTGTTCTGTAGCTTCATCTTCTACCATCATTGAAGAGACAGATTCCTCTTTAGAAGAATGTAAAGCATTCACATCTTTCATGTTTGATCCTCGAAGGCTATTATGAACGCCTTGTTCTGCAGCTCCGGCTTTTCCCTTTTCATATTCACAAATATCTCCAATAAGATTATTGTTGTCGCCCAACTTCTCATCTTCTCCCTCCGACAATTGGTTGTTGAATTCCACTAAAGCAACTGCTACAGGTGCTAAATGTAAACCTCCCTGACTGTTATCATGCTCGTTCTTGAGTCTGTTTTGCATGTCTTCCCCAACCCCACAAATTCCAAAGTCTTCCCTTGTTATTTCCGGGGACAAATTTGTTTCGAATTCCAACCTTTCAATCTCTGAACCTTTCAAATTCTTGGCAGAAAAAACACTCCTTTCCTTTGAACCCGGGCTAGGAGTCACCAAATCAATCACTTCCCCATTTTTGCCACCAACACAATGAAGTGTGGTGTCTTTCTCAGTTCTAGCATTACCAGAACCTACAGGATTTTCCATTTCTTTTTCCTGTGTTCGAAACAAAACCAAATTCCACAAACCAACAATTCAATAACCAACCCAATAAGGAAATAAACAATTAAAAACCAGTCCCTAACACCATGTTCCTAAACAAAATAGAAAATGGATAAAATTTAGTCGTAATTTCCTTCAGTTTATTAGTGATTGCAATTCAAATAATTGAAGTCGGTAGAGAATTAAAAGGGGTATTAATATCTATGTATAACATAAAAGACACCTCTTTTGTTCGTATAGTACAGAGAGTGTGTGAAAATTTTCTTATACGGTTTTGAATCAATAATTTCTTCCTAACAAAATTAAGTATATTTGGGATTATTCTCAAATTAAATTATTTGAAGAAATTTTATTTGTTACTAAAAAAATTACTACTTGAAGAAAAGGGTCGAATGATATGAACCTTGAAAAGCAAGGAGAGTCTGTCTGCCATTTCGCAGCTCTTCAAATTTGCAGGAATGCCATGTTTCTTGCACAGAGCCTGCAGTCTCTTCCTCTTCATGCCATGAAAATCCATCTCTATTACTCTCAGTTTTGAACAAAAAATTCCAAAACAAACTCCAATTTTTGCAAATTCAAACCAAATCGCTTGGAAAAGTAAACGATTTAACAGCTTGGGTTGGTTTCTGGAAGTCAAAATGAGGAGCTTCCTGCTTCTTTGGTATTAGTAACTCAGTGCATATACTTCATTGGTACAATTTCCTATTGAGCAAAGTAACCGTTGGTAGTTTAAAAGACACCATTGAAGTATTTATGTAGTACACGTTCATTTTTGGCGCTCAAATTTGAATTCAAGTTTGAATTACAGTTATCGCAACCTTATCCAGTTTTGAATTTAAAGCTTTTGCTACGAAAATCTATCCATGGTCGGTGGCTTTACACGTGGACTACCAATGAACATGCTCCTGCACGTGATGATAAAAGTGGATGTAGTAGGTGGTAACTTCTCTATTTTATATAGTATTTATTTATTCATTTATATTCTTTGGCTTTTGCTTTTGCTTTGAGCAACATGTTATTATATTTTTAAGAATTTTTATTTAATGTAGTGTTAGTCTATTCTAAAAGTTAAATAAATTGTGACATGGTAGTGTTTAACTATGTCTCAGATTTGGTTTATTATATTTTTAGTTTTAAGGTGAGGTGGAGTTGGCATACTCGATGTATGGGTTTTAGCGTAAATAAACTAGTTTGAAAGGTTATATATATTGTATGTTTTTATTTAATTATTCATTTAATAGCTAATTTTTAATATAGTAATTACAATTCATTTTATTGTATTGATGATACATTTAAATTGATTCAAAGGCTTAATAGTCATTTTTGTCTCCAGTTTTGTTCGCTTGTGTTAATTTGGTTATTGGTTTTAAGAAAGTGTCAATTTGGTTTTCATTTATTAAATTTTGTATCAAAATTGTTCCTTTCCTTAAATAGAAACAAACGGCGTTAAAGATGGATGATCTTTTTTGTAGATATATTTATGCTTACGTGTCAGAGAATGAGTGCAGAGATAGAATTTAGGAGTGCATTTGGTATTTTTTTTGGCCAGACCCAAACCCTCTTTTCTCTAGGGGTGTTGCTTCCTCACCACCACTAAATCCCCCTGCACCTCTCCAAAACTTTTTTAATTACAAAATACTGTTTAAACTTTAACATCACTAAATCTCCCTGCACCTTTCCACAACTTTTTTAATTGCAAAATACCCTTTAAACTTTAACCTTTATTTACTTTAACCTTATGCTCGCCTATTTCGAATTTCATTAAGGCTTCGCCTCCGCCACCGTCCTCGTTGCAGCAGTCATCAGACGACGCAGAGTCTCCGCCATCCTTGGAATCGCCATCGCAGCCTTTACATTCATCGCCTTTACCATCACCCTCAATGTTACCACCACCCCTAGAAATCTCTTCTCCTCCACCTACTGTATCTCCGCCGAAAAAATCTCCTCCGCTGGTACCGGAGAATTCCCCTCCTCCACCAACGCTTGTTCATTCACTGCCACCACCAACTCCTTTTACTTCTCCACCACCTACCCCTTCTACTTCTCCACCACCTCCTCTTTCTGCACAACCAAAATCGAAATGGAGGTCGAGGTGTCGAACGCTTCCACTGACTGTAGTCGTAATCCATGTTTGGATACTTACAGGATGACCATAGGTAGAGTCCAATCTGAGGCGAAATCTATGGAGGGGTTGGTCTCTATCACGCGAAAGAAAGTAAGAGTCCACGTAGTGTAGAAAATGAGATTAAGCCTCGTTGTTTCTGTCATAATCAAAGAGGTCTCCGACATAGTCGAAATAAAAAACGAAGGTCTCTTCTCCACCGGTCGTCGACAGCGGAATCGATCGTCGACAGCGACACCTCAACCACCCTCAAGAACACAACCAGCGTCATCCAGCAACCACAGTAAATCACATCACCTCCATTGACGCACAAGAACAACAACCACAGCGTCGTCCAAAACCCCAATCGAAAAGAGCCCCAAATTGCAGAACCCTAATCACGTAGAAACCATCCCCACCGCGAGAATCCTCATCGTGCATCAACATCATGCCTCCTCAGACCTGCAAAGCAAGAGAACCAAACCAGAACAACCATGGATAAATCGCAATGCAGCCATTTGGAAATTTAGGTTGGTGGAGGCGTAAGAAAGAGGGGTTTGGGGGGGTGGGGGTGGTGATAGGGTGTGGGAGGCGGAGCGAGGCAGAAGGGGAAGTGAGAGAGGGAGCAAGTGGGACAGATATTCGGTGGAGAAGTGAGACGCCATTGCCGATTATCCATTATTAACTGCAACACTCTTTTTGGAAGAAGAAAAAGATTTGATCTGAGAAGTGGGACACCATTGCTAAGTGTCACATTAATTATAATTAAAAGTAATTAAAAGAAAAATATTAATCCAAATTAATTATAATTAAAGGAAATACTAAACACGTCACCACGCATACAATTTAAAAATACCACGTCTTCTGCCAGATCATCCATCCTTAACGCCGTTTTTTTCTATTTAACGGAAAGGACAATTTTGATGCAAAATTTAATAAGTGAGGATCAAGTTGACACTTTTCTAAAACCAGAAACCAAATTGACATAATTGACCAAAACTGGAAACAAAATAGACTATTAAGCCTAATTTAAATTATTAAAACTCTTTTGAACATCTCCGTTCACATTTTTGTTATATTCACTAGTAAAAAATGACGTTTCTAACTCGTACATTATCACTCGGTTTTTACTGAACCGAAGCATATCAAAACGCGATGGCAGTCTCGTAATTTTAAAAGCATTATATGCCTCGGTTGTTAAGAAACCGGTGTCTAAAAGTAATACTGGTTCGGTTATCAGAGTGAACCGAGGCATAACCCTCACGTAGCAAAGATACGGTCTCGGTTGGCATGGACCCGAGGCATATTGGGCTTTAAATCGAGACAAACCTGATCATTTCCCCAAAGCACCTCTCCTCTTCTCTGCCTCTTCTCCGCCTCGCGATATTCCTCCTGCGATGTGCGATGTGCGACGACGGTGGACGCGGCGAGGCAGCACCGACGGTGGACGTGGCGGCAACGAGGGCGCAACGACAAGGACACAACGACGAGGACGCAACAGCGACGAGGACGCAATGGTGGCGAGGACGCGGCGACGAGAACGCAACGGCGACGAGGACGCAGCGGTGACGGAGGGCAAATTTGGGCGCATGGAAGAGCGGAGGGCAGATCTGGGCACATGGAGGGGCGAAGAGCAGATTTGCGCGCATGGAGGGGCGGAGGGCAGATTTGTGACGGTGGACGGAGGATTCGCGGAAGGAGGGGGAGAAGAGGAAGTCAATGACGGTGGCGAGGAGGGTGGGGACGGCAGAGGATATGCTGGCAAGCTTCGTGGGGACGACGGAGTGGGAGCAGAGGAAGTCAGTGACGGTGGCGAGGAGGGTGAGGACGACGGAGGGGAGCAGAGGAAGTCAATGATGATGGATGCTGCAACCTTCGTGGGGGAGATGGTGGTGGTCGGAGATGCTTCTGTTGGGGGAAGAACACGGAAACCCATGTGCGAAGAGGAAGAAACCCATGGTCGGAGATGCTTCTGGTGGTAAAAGATGCTACTGTTAAGTCCATCTTCATCTCTGCTTCTGAGTTTCTTCAGCTTAAGTCCATCTTCATCTCTGTATCTGAGTTTCTTCTCATTAGTTGTTGTAATTTGTAATTTGTGGGTTGTAATTTGGACATTGGTGAGTTCATGATGTTTGCTGCTTCTGTAGACAGATTTTTGACATTGATTATTGGTTGTTGTAATACTGTGGTTTGTTTGATTTCTGTTATGGTTTTCTTGGTTGTGTTAGATTCTTGAGCTGAATGGGAAATTTTGAGTTTGGTTGGCATGAATGAACGAGTAAAGTCTAAAAAAAAACACACACACAAAAGATAACCGAGGCATATTTCTGTTTCGTTTTATCTCGGTCTATAATCGAGGCATAAACCTTAACTTTTTTACTTTGTCCCCGTATGTCTCGGTTGTAGAATCGAGGCCTATAAACATTTACAACATGTGTCTTTACTCTTTATTGTACTAGTGATTAATACTAGTGAAATGATAACAAAAAAATTATAATTATAAATAATTTTTATAACTTTATTATAGATATTTTTTATTTATTTTATAAATAAATTTTTATTATATATGTTATTTTAATTTAAAAAATGGTTAAATTTGAAAGGAAAATCACTTAAAAAGTACAATTATTTATTAAATGATAAAATTGAAAAAATACACCAAAAAATTAATCTCTATATAATATTAAAAAATATATTATTTAGTTATTTTGACATTAAAAGAATTATTTAATTATTTATTCTATTAAATAAAAAATAAAATGTTAACAAAATATGTTTTTTTTAAGGGTAAAAGTGTTTTTTTATATGACGGTATAGATGAGACTGGTAGAGAATATGGATAATAACATTTTTTAATATATTATAATGTAAAAGTTGGATATTCTTATCGTTATATATAGATAATTAGAGTTCTCAATTTCATCCATAATCTATAGGTTACTCCATTCCAGAAAAAATCTCTTTTTAAAAAGTCTTTTAAGTGAAAAAAAAAAATTTAACTTCCAAAACTACTTCTTAAATCAAAATTAGGTTTAGCCCTACTATAAAACTTTAATTAATTTTTAAAAAAAATATAATTTATATATACATATAAAATTATTTATTTTATTAATTTTATTAGATAATTTAATATATTATAACTTTATTATATTTAAAGCAATATTTTTATATAATATTTATTATTATGTTATTAAATAAAATATATAATAATACCTTTAGCTTTCATATATTAAATAAAATATATACTTTTATATTTTATAAATATATAATCACACTTTATAAACAATTATAAATAAAAATTACTTTTTAAATTTACTTTGGCTTTACAATTTTGTTAAGATCCGCATTAATGTATAAATTTTATGAGATTTCTTTCAAAATTTGATATAGTTATCTCATAATCTAAGAAATGTCTTTGTTAGAATGTGAGTAGAGTTGAGCATCGGTTAAATTAGATTACTTATTATTATTATTATTATTTTTTTTTTTTTTTTTTTTTTTAATTTTCTGATGAACTGGTTGAGTAACTACGATACTTTTTGTTCACAATTAGAGAATCAACTTGAGAAATAATGTGCTCCCACACTCATCGTTAGAACCAACTTGAGCACCCTAAAATTGATTAGATGTTTATTCAGAAGATAAATAGTTTGTTAAAAGA